CAATAAAAACTATTGTCAAATCCTCATTAGAAATACTTCACTGTACTTCCACAGTGCATCGCTTGTTGTCTGACCGCTTACTTTGTCGCGAAGAAGCCATTTTAGTGAGTTATCCAATTCAAGGTTTCCTACTATTAAGAAAAGGACAAGGTTGCACAATCCATTTCCGAACGCCAGGTCCAAGAAGCGAAAACTCCAAGCTCAAAATGACTGGACAGCCCCAAATCCAACTCATAACCCGAGCACATATATTAGGATCTCATTTCAACCCACCACCAACTCAATCTTCCCCGTGAAACCGACGTCAAACCGCAGTTTGATTTCAAACTTTCCAGTTTAGAGTTACAACACCCACGTACACATTCACCACGACACACGACCGTTGAAAACCAGCTCGGTAGCCTTGCCTCCTTTGCAAACCGAGCCCCGCCGGGGATCACGCCGTCTCTTGGCGTCAACAAGCCTTGTTTTAGAACCACGGGTCTCCTCAGGTCGAATCGACCGAGAGGCCATTGTCTCGATCGGCCAATCAAATTCGCCTCCGGACGTGTTTCCAGATCTGTGATAATTTTCGAAAACTCGGAGGAAAACCTTGGAAGGATTTATGCTGGTTCTATATAGGACTGTTAAATGTGATTCTGGAAACACAAAACTGAACGCATCCCAAAGCAATACTACATAACTGTATTTGCATGTAAAGCAGTTGAAGTCGATTTACTGCTGACCGTCTAATATCAGGTTTCGTTATCGATATGCTGATCTTTAGAATAAATTTAAAGCTTGAGGCCCTCCAAATACAGAAGCACTCTTATGCGTGTCTCTTGCAAGGCAGTGAAAACAATGACTAACTGCGTATACATGTAAAACAAAAGATAACATATGCAAATTATATAAGACGCAGAATGACGAAATATCCTAAAACAAAAGTCTCAAAATAAGGAATTGCAATGAGATAACAAAAAATTATTGTCAATTAACAGGCGAATTTAAGAGAAGCATGAGTAATCATTTTTGGAGCCCAGAGGATAGGGGTACCCTGAGGCTTTCGAGCTAGTCCCTTTAAATTATTATATTACTGCTGTTATCACTATTGTCATTTTTAATAATATTATTCGTTGCCATTTAATTATTGGTTAAATGTCAATTAGACAATACATTCTTGAATCATCTTTCACTTGTGAAACAAGTTAGTCATAAATAGGTGAGATGCAGCTGGTAGCTGTTCTCCATGTGATACAAATATTCTGCAACACTACCTTCTAGCATCATTAGAGAACCTCAAGTTCCTTTCAATCATGCTACAAAAAATGTGCTATGCCAGTAGCCACATGCAGTCTTTGACTATCTACTGTTTTTTTTTTTTTATTTTCGAGGTCGAGCCAGTCAGCCGCTCTGCACTTCTGCGAAAAAGTAGTTTATCACTCATTTTATTTCTCCTTGGCGTTTTGTTTGACTCACGCGCACTTCATCGGGATGTTTTGACAATAAAGCAATACACCAGGCCCCGGTTGTTCAAAGGATGGATAAATTTATCCACTGGATAAGCTTATCAAGTGGATAATAAGGCTATTCACTGGATAGTTATCCAGCAGATAAAAAGTTGTTGCAGAAAGCACGGATAGCGAGGCGTGTAACTATCCAATGGATAACTCGCTATCCATGCAGTTGCCATGGTTATAACCCAGGCGTTGCGTGATTTGTTCGCTCGCGCGTGCTAGTGGCGAGACAACATGGCAGAAAATGTTGCTCCTTCCCCGGCAAAGCGCGCAAGAAAGCCGAACTTTACACCTGCCGAATATGCAGTTATTTTTGAAGAGGCGGAAGAAAATAGCAACGTTATTAAGAGTGAGTTTTTCTCAACATTTTCGAACAAAAACAAAACTCGAATATGGGAGGAAATAACGGACAAAGTCAATGCGCTAGGAATTTCCAAAAGAACTGTGATCATATCGTCGGCAACAATGCCAACGATATATTGTATCGCAAATGACTATTTATCATCTTTTATACTTATGTAACTTTCATTATTTTCAGTATTTTATAATTGCACGTGCGCATCGTAAACGAGTACGCCAAATGCTCCTATAGGCGTTACGTGGATAAATAAACTATGTTATCTTATTTTATCTTATTTTAAGAGAGGATCTGAGGATAAAATGTTCTGTAAATTTCCGTGCATGATTCCAACGTAACACAAATTACTGAACGCATCATAAAGCAATACTGCATAAATGTTTTGCATGTAGAGCAGATGAATGGAGATCGATTAACAGCTGACTGTCTAAAATATTTTAGCTAACTAATTGATTGGAAAATTTATTATTTCAATTTCCTTTTATTGATGCATTTTTGCTGGATTAAAATTGCTTTTGTAATACAGTGATGTATGGTTAGTGACTAGTTGGAGTTTGAGCCAATTATACTCAAGGAAAGATATTCTAACCCCGAAGAGATAAAATTGAAATGAAGGCCTTCAGCTAGGAATTAGCCAGAACAGTTATTGTTCATACTGGAGATAGGAAAACAAAAACAAAAACAACTAAAAAGCAGTGAAAACGATATCAATATTGCATCGATTCTGAGTACTACAAGATAATTCAATTTGGTTTTGTCAACTGAGATGCTAATGCAAATTTAGCCCCCGCAATTAGTTTGTAAGGCTAACTTTCGAAAGTTAACCCTTCACAGATCTAGAGTGAAATGAGTCATCGTTTATACTAATCAACAATATGTGTTTGTAGTAATCGATCTAGATGCGCATAGAAATTTCTATAGATCTTCCATCGACATGGTAACATATAAGATGCTCAGCTATAATCGATACACACAATGTGCATGGAAATTTCCATAGATCTTCCATCGACATGTTAAAATGTAAGATTTTGAGCTATAATCGATCCACACAATATGCACGGAAATTTCCATGGATACTCCAGCAACATGGCGCAAATGAAAGAATCTTTCAGTCATGATCAATCCAGACAATTGTGCATGGAAATTTCCCTAGATCTTCTGTACAATAAAATGACGTAAGATGTTCAGTTACAATCGATTCACATATGTGCATGGAAATTTCCACAGATCTTCTACTAACATGGTAAAATGTAACATGTTCAGCTATAATCGACCTAGACATGTGCATGGAAAATTCCATAAACCTTCCATCAACATGGTATAATGTGAGATTTTCAGCTATAATCGATCTAGACATGTGCATGGAAGTTTCCTTAGACCTTCCATTAACATCGTATAATGTAAGATATTCAGCTACAATCGATCTAGGCATGTGCATGGTAATTTCCAAAGACCTTCCATTAACACAGCAAAATTTAAGATGTACGGTTGTAATTGATCCTGACATGTGTATGGAAATTTCCAGAGATCTTCCATTGACACAGCAAAATGTAAGATGTACGGTTATAACTGATCCTGACATGTGTATGGAAATCTCCATAGACCTTCTATTAACATGGTATAATGTAAGATGTTCAGCTTCAATCGATCTAGAAATGTGCATGGGAATTTCCAGAGACCTTTTATTAACATGATATAATGTAAGATGTTCAGCTATAATCGATCTAGACATGTGCATGGAAATTTCGATAGACCTTCCATTAACACAGCAAAATTTAAGATCTACGGTTACAATTGATCCAGAAATGTGCATGGAAATTTCCAAAGATTTGCTTAAGTGACATGGTATAATGTGACATGATGTTTTAAGTCCTTTTGGATTAACATCTCTATGGAAATATCTGCATATACATTTGTAAGAAAGGTTCTCAGAAAAATCGCTGTCAAATGTGCCATATCCTATTTGGTATAGCTAATGCACGCATGTATAAATTTCAGTAAATAGTTCCTAAATGAAATCCTGTCTTTGTTGTAAAAGTTGTTGGAATCAATTCAACTGTGCAGTGGTTTTTATTAGACTATTAAACTATTTTTTCTTCAATATATTTGAGTGTCCTGGTCAGAAATATACAGTGTGGGGTACCTATTCATTTAAAAGATGGGCTCGCACTAACTTCGGAGAACGAGCTACCTTCCAGCAGCTTTTTTTTTTTTTTTTGCTAGTAGATGGAAAAGATAAAACCAAATATCTATAAGATATATATTTTGGATATATCAACAAAGTTGAAATGGTAAATTAGCCACCGTAATGATTACAAAAGCTGACGTTTCGAGCGTTAGCCCTTCGTCGGAGCGAATAGAGGAATTGTGGGTTGTGTGTGCTTTTTAAGGCAGAATATGGAGCTACGTTATTGGTGAGAGCATGGCAAGGAAAAAAACATGAATAAATTAGTGGAATGAAAAGCGTTCGTCGATCCCTGTGGGATTTAGACTACCGGTTTGAAAGATGAGCTTTTGTTCAAGATTTTTACGGCTTTCCGTGCCACTAAGTGCAAGGAAAGACCGCAGATTCCCATGTGTTGCTTAGAATGATTAGGTAAATTAAAATGTCTAGCGACTAGTTTCGATGTGTCCTCGTCATTCCTTTCCACGTCTCGAAGGTGTTCTCGGAATCGGTCACCTAGTCTTCTGCCTGTTTCGCCGATGTATATCTTTTTGCAATAAGTGCAAGTTATGCAATAGATTACATTGGCGGAGGTGCACGTGAAGTGATCGGTGATCTTAATGGATCGTTTCGCTCCGACGAAGGGCTAACGCTCGAAACGTCAGCTTTTGTAATCATTACGGTGGCTAATTTACCATTTCAACTTTGTTGATATATCCAAATTATTTCGTTACTCCCATCTACGCAGCCCCAAACAGTTTCTTTCGAAACTATCAGCCTTTATTCATTTATAAGATATATAGTTTGTTTGTGTCTCTGTATGTGTGAGCGTCCTTTTTTCGTTGTCTTCTCAATTTTTTGAAGAATGGTTGTAAGAGAGCAACAGATGTTGGCATGTCATTCCCAAACCTCTCAAATTACGTTTTATGGCCATGCTATAATGAATAGAACAGAGAAATTTGACAGCGAGTTAGACTGCGTCACAAACAAACAGCTGCTTAAATGTTGCTGTTTCCTTTTTTTACTCAGGGAGGACGTTTTCGGTCTTGTCTGCTTTTAGGATTCCTTCTCAAGAAAATGGTGAGTGTGATTTTCTTAACTACACTGTCTGTTTTAAAGATATCTTCCTTTGAGTTAATTGTGAGAACTCCCATAAACGTCTTGCGGTTCTGAGTTCCTCTGGAATACTCATTGTTTGCCGGTTCAAATATAGGTTCGAATAAGTCTGTGTGGCGCAGTTTATCTATCGATGCTAAAGTTTCTCTCGAAGGAAATGTTAACCTTGGCTGGTATCTTTGTTACCTAACTCTTAACTTTTGAGTTTATATCTACGTAATTACCAAAACGTGGATCATAGTGGTAATAATTACCACCTAAATAGTGTTAGGCAGCTTAATATCATAGACAAGGACAAATTTTGCACATTTTAGCTTAGGTTTATTAGTGGGGCCTCTGTGATAGCTTTTTGCGCAGAAATCTTTATTGCTTCTTGAAAGAAGCAGGAATCGCCAATTAGTATCCATAGTTAAGTCGAGAGAGTAGAAAATCTGGCGAAGAAACCGACTCTAAAAACAAAAATTCTCTCATAATAGGGCTCCCTTTTAAAACTTTGAACATTTTGTTATCTCTGAAAAGTCACAGACGATTTCTCGCATATCCAGTTCATAACTTTTATAATCAACTTTTTCACCCGATTTTTGACATTGATGCCTTATCCGTTCAGAATCCCAGAATTTAAGACAGTTTTTTCCTTCAAATACTTCATTTTCGGGTTATTCCCTTTCTAGGATTCAACGCCAAGATGTCTCTTGCAGTCGGCAACGGCTCAGTTGTATTCGTGCCAAGGGTTACAAATTCGTCGCTGATTTTCGTTGTCACACGTTCATCCAGAAACTTTACTTTAGTTCTGCCCAAACAACTACACTACATGTGGAATAGAAAGTTATTTTATTATTCTGTTGCTCTGTTAGAATATTGCCTGACTAGTATCAATTACAGGTAGCACAGAAAGCTTTAACCATCGAGGTAAATATGTTTTTCAGCACGTGACACCGCCGATATGTTTGTTCTGAATTGACAGCTTTTCTATTTGTTACGGACGCCGTCTACAACTGTAAGACTGAAGTCTCCTTAGTTGAAGGGAAAAATACCTAAAAAGAGTTTAAAGCATACCAATAATTATATAAAGTCACACTGGCGGCAAAAGAAAAGACATCAGATATCTTAAGCACGAATTCGTGATATTCCTTTTTCCTATTAAGAATTACTTTTGTCAAATTCAAGATTTTTTTTCCAAGTTAATGTAGCTTTCTTTTTTTCATTTTTTTTTTTAATTTTCGATTAATTGTTTGATGCAAATATAATTCCATTGTGCACTGTAAACATGTGCATTTGAGCCATAGTAGAGCTTCGAAAGAAAAATTTGATTATTCTAGCTCTAGAACTTTCCTGGAATAAACAGATTACTTTACTAACTAAGATAACAGCAATGGAGAATGTGTTTTATGGAAGATTAGACAACAGTATCCGTACAATATCGCGGGATATTCTTATTAGATTCACACGTTATTTGCTCCCTGCTTAATGCAGGTGAAAGATAGCAAAGTGTGTTTCATGAAAGAGAAGAATACCGTATATTGGTGGGTTACCTCTCCTAACTAGTATCACCTACTTTCATACAGAAAGCTGCAAAGGTTGTTCCTCTTCCTTCGCAGTGAAGTACAATAACAACAAACAGCCAGCAATGCAGGTGTCTTATTAGGATGAGTTTACTCCAAGAAGCTCGCGATCGTCTGATTTTGACTCAGAATCGACGGTGGGGGTGGGGGAGCGAGGAAAGGTGAATAAATATTTTCTGGCTCATCCCCTCTCCTTTTTTTGACGATCGCTCCTTCCCCTTGCTCCCCCCGTACTAATTTCTTCCCCTTCCCAGCCTCCCGCTGTTGTAATAATTATCAAAGAGGGCAGCTATAATTTTTACCAGTATAATGATGACGACGGACGACTTTATTTATATCCACCTGGTAAGTTTAAAATTTTCATTTTATTCAGGAAAAGTAAGCCACAAGACGTCAAAAGGAAATAATTGTCAACCAAAATGGATTTCAACTCATGGAACAAGTTTTGGAGTTCGGTTTTTGGACTCTTGGCGGTACTGATAGTTTTGTGCAATTTCTTTACCATCTGGGCATTCCACAAACAGAGACGTCGCAAACGCACCTACTTTCTACTAATCAGTTTAGCTGTTACTGATTTACTGGTCGGATTATTAACAATTCCATTTTTTATAAAAAACAGCAGCATGGAAAGTTCACCCTCACTGTGGCACGTGTCGACTTCGTTTGACGTTTTTACTGGTTTAACGTCCATCTACACACTTGCAGTAGTTTCCCTGGAGAGAATGTTTGCCACCATATGGCCTCTACGTCATAGAACTCTGACATTTTGTAGTTACATCTCTGCCATTGCCATACCGTGGGTATCAGGGGCAATATTCACTCTTTTAATGATTCTTCACTTCAACGAGATAGAACTACAAAGTTACAATATTCTTCTAATATTATTCCTGGTCACGCCATTACTAACTATTTGTGTCGCTTATCTTAGTATTTGGATAAAGCAGAAATCGACAAAGGGAGTTCGAAATCACAGAGCTGCAAGAGAATCCAAATTAGCCAACACGTTACTTTTGATTACAGGAGCCTCTCTTTTTACTTGGACTCCATTTCAAATTTCCCAGATTTTGTTAGTATTTGAAGGTTTCCGGATTCCCCACATATTGATTTACCTTATCAAGCTTTTACAGTTCAGCAATTCACTTGTCAACGTGCTTATTTATCCGCTAAGAATGCCAGATTTTCAGACAACTCTCAAGAACATATTTCAGTGTATTAGGACTCGAAGATCTACAATTGGGCCTTCCTCTCAAGCTATTCATTTGAAGAGAATCGCATATTGCGATGCTAAATAGGAAATTTTCACTCAGGGAAGGGTATAGTTAGATTTTCCGTGATGTTGTGAATAACCAAAATACGCAATTTGATTATCCATGAGAAATCTCTGATATTATTTCTTTTTTGATAAAGTGACCTCAAACGCTATGGGTGGTTTCAATTGAAATAAACTCCACTGCTATGATTTGGAGAGGCACGGATTTCTTAGATATCTCAGGCACGTGTTTTTGTCGTTGTTGTTGTTGCTGTTTATTTTTTTTTTTGGGGGGGGGATGGACTGAGCGAGTGGTTCGTTCCTCTAGAATGATTTGTTGTGCGGCAATCGGGCAGCAATGAGGCTTAGTTAACTTTATGCAATACTCCTAATTTTTTTATTTTTTATTTTTTTATCATGAGTCCAAATAACTGTATCTAGCAATTAAACTCTCATTGCTTCATTTATTTAACATGGATTACTTTTTAAAGTATAAATAAAGTAAAGATTACATTGTTAAAAATATTGTATCTTCTAGTTTTATAGCCATTTATATTATGAATCAAACCGCCTATTAGTCACAGAAACACTTTTTAAAATTTTCATGCTTATTTGATTCACTGATCTATTAAGTTCGAAATTCTCTCTATCTTTTAGTTTGTATTGTAGAATTAAAGTTGAATTCAAGCAGCTCTGGAAATACTGTAATAGAATGTTAGTGATAAGCCAATAAACTTATTGTTGCAGGCAGCAGTTGATTATTACCTTTCGGAATTCTTTGAATTTGAATATTATCTAAATTGCCAAATGCGTTTTAGATTGTCACTTCAGCATTGTTTCTTGTTTTTGTTCAATGTTAGTTTTGGTAAAGAGCTATTTCTAGATTGTCAGGGTAAAGCACCAACTTGAATTGAAATTGAATTTTAAACGAGGAATTTTATCGAAGTGGAATTAAGGTTTGAAAATTAAGGGTATATCCAATCACGTGCTAGCAAAACATAATCGGATCAGAAATCAAATTATACCCCATCATTATGCTTCGTAGTACAACTCACTGGACAGTTTGCACTCAATAACCCCCCATAAACGTCGATATTTGTCCGATGATTATTGTCCGATGATTATTTCCTTCGAATAGGAATAAAGCCAGTTTGAAGAAGCCAGTTCCAAAGTTACCAGGTTTCAATTTTAAAACCCCACATGGAAAAAAATCGATCTCTTCTTGAAAAGCCCAGTCATAGCAACTGCTGATTTTAAATGCTGCTCTGAAGAGTACAAAAACGTTTAAAAAGTTGCTGTAAACGTGCAATACGAAAATTAATGTGTGTTGGCTGTTACTTTTCTCAAGATAACGCATTTGCCCAAAGTTAATAACACATTTGCCTCGCATCTTGGCCAATTATTCGTTTTACGGGTGAAGTCTTAACCGCGGGCATTATCAGCCGGCATACCATTCGCTTGAAGAGGTTTATTTACTAAGTGTCCAATGGCTTAGCACTCGTCTAATTTTAATCACAAGCTCTATTTGCCCGATTTTGTATCATATAAAGTCAGTAATAAGTGTGGATTGATGAAGTTAGACAATAAAGCAAAACAAGAGATTATGAACAGTTCATTGTTTCTTTAGCGATCAGACTGCACTCTCCCACTTAGGGCTCCTTGATAACATCTGCATATTTGTGAATCCTATTAAGGACACAACTGACCCAGACTCAGCTAATGGAGATACCTCAGCGTTAAATAGCTGATAGGGAACCACGCAGCAGCGCAGTAAGTATAACAGGCAGTTTTTAAATTCTGGGATTCTAAATGGATAAATAATTACGTTCACGAACGAACTGCTATATTGTAAAACCTTGATGATGAATACCGTCAGTGACCGGTGAGAAAAGTTTGCAACTACTTGCAAATATGCCAACAACAAAAGAATCTGGATTGGAAGCCAGGTCAAAACAGAAGCCCCTGTTATCAAAAATAATGTTTTAGCTAATTTCGCTTCTCTGATGACATTTCTATGGTTACATATCGGTGATTTCTGTTTCTTCCAAATAACATAATACGCAACACACATAACTAATAGAGGTGTTGCAGGAACCAAAACTAGAAGGCAGATTACGCCATCAGTTGTAATAAGGTTTAAGTTTGCATGAATGAAAACAGTAAATATTGCTGCTATGATCCACGGTAGGAAAATGGCACAGATGTAAACACGAAATTTCAGAGTTCTGTGACGAAGAGGCCAACCAATCGCGTACATTCTCTCCACGGAAATAACAGCAAGTGTATAAATGGACGATGTAGCCATAAACATGTCAACAGAAGCGGACGCACGCGCTATTGTTCTTGAGGAGGTTTCGAATAATGCTACAAAAAGGGGAATGGCGAGTCCTCCAACCAGTAAATCAGCGACGCCCAAACCGATAAGAAGAAACGAGGAACGCTTTCGACGTGTCAGCTTGAAAAATATCCAGATGTTGAGAATATTACCAGCAACGATTAAGGTTGCTAAAAATCCAAAACATAATCTCCAGAATATATTCCAGGTGTTGAAATCCATGGCAGTGGGATGCTTTTTCCTTATATGGTGATGCTAGAGAGTCCTTTTGGAACAGAACAAAACAAGATTGATACCTGACGTAAACCTTTAAATTTTTTTAAGACTTTTTTAGTAGTTCAAAGTTAAAAACGTCGCTAACTTGATCGTAGCACCCGAACTAGCGACTGAGACAAATCGGTTCCGGCAAATCTCGTCGAAGCCGGTATTTATTTTGGCTTCTTTTCTACTATTCCTTTTAATTGCAGCTTGCTTAGTTGCCCGATCGTTTATTCATTCCAGTACCATAAAATTCTGCTTATTTCATTTAATTGCGATGGTTTACTGAAATATTGGCTCTTTGAGTTTGTGGCTATGCATACACATTGTGATCCTGAAAGAATAAGTATATTAAAAAAAAAACCGGACAGCCTGCAGCTGGCGATTAGTTGCATTAATTTTTTTATGGAACGGCTGGCAAATATAGATCCAAGTTCATTAGATGAATCGAACGAAGTAAAAAAGTCAGACGACCAACAAATTTCTACATTTACTGAAGAAAATAGAAATACTTCTGTCACACACTCCCCATAAATAATTATCCGCGAAATTCGTTGCACTGAAAGAACAATTTGGCGTGTTGGATAATAAATAACTTATAGACGTTTTATTGCGTACTATCGCTGAGTATTTTTTATTCGTTATTTTTATTTTGAATAAATACGGCACAACTCGTAAAAATACTCAGCGATACTACACAAAACAACGTCGAATAAGATATGTATTCTAATATCGGGTACAATTAACTACGACTCCAGCTTTTCAAAGAACCCTAACCTCCATGGCTACATTCAAAAGTGAATAAATATCTATCTTTAGAAGGGATTGAAAAATAAAACATCATACCCCTGGATTAGAAGGTTTTTTAGGCGATGATTCCTAACATCCCACACAAGTGGTATGAGCAAAACAAAAGTAAATTTGAGGATTAAAATAAGTCGGAATAGGAAATTCAGTACGACAGATTGTCAGTAGAACTGTCAAAATCAACGTTTTATGCAAGCCGCTATTGCAAAGATTAGCTTTGATGTATGAGCTAAAAGTTCATTATTTGTATAACAGACTGTGAACACTAGGCATCTTAAAGGCTGAAAAGAAAAGAAAACAATTGAATCAAATCCCAGTGGTTCTGGTCTCAGATCATCTAACAAGGATTACTGTTAATGAAAGAAGCTATATATAGCAAATATGCTTTTTAATTATAAATTTTAATATTTTAGTTTGCCTTTTTACTAACCCTGAAAGTCGAGTTAAATCGAATTTGAACATACCACAGTGAGATTAAAAATCATGCTTCTCCGTCAATATGGCGCTGACTGAGTAGCACAGTCTGACGATATTGTGCCAGAGTGTAACTTAGCCGAAAATAACATCGGTGAAAGTTCAGACGTCGGTGATAAAAATGATAAAAAGTGAAAAACTCCCGTGTAATATCTTTTTATAGCAAGCTCATTAATTCTTCCAAATCTGTTAAAACAGTCCGATAACTATTACGAAGCCATCTCTCTCTGATTTTAATGATCTAGCATACATACTGGAATATCTTCGATCTGATGAATGTATTAGCAGTTATTTCCCTTATTCAAAACGCAAAAATTGGAATTATCTAATTCTCTGGCTGTTCGAAAGTTCATTAGTTTACTTTAAAGGCCGACGAAACTAACAGAAAGAAAACAATATAGAATAAGTTGCCCATTTAGCGTTAAATTTAATTCAAATTGAACATATCAAGGTACCAGATACGATGAATATATGAAGTTCATATATTCATCGTATTCATTCCAAGGTACCATTGGATTACATAATTATACACGTATTTTCTTCCCGTACGAGGCAAAACTAGTTGCACTGAGTTTTTTCTTCCTGTTTCTTCACGCCATGCGGCGTAAAGCTCTATTAGGTGTAACTATTTAGGCTCTACTGAGTTAGTCACTTCTCGCTCACGCTGTTTATTCTAACATTTTCTTCATTTTCCCACTCACCCACCTGTTTTTCTGTTCTTACTTCTCTTACCGAATGCTTTTTTCTATGGTGAGGCTGTTCACGCAATGGGAGGGAAGGGTTATCACCGAATTATGTTTATTGTTAAGAAGCAATGGCTGCACAAGAAGGGCGAGTAAACGTCTGGGAAGCTCGCACTCCTGTCGCAATCGTTTCCACGTTTGATTTGGAGTAAGAGCAGACGATGGGGGGAGGGGGCGGGAAAGGCGCTCTCTGCCCTTAAAAAACTCAGTTTTTCTTTTGGTTGTACACAGGCTAAACTTCCTTTAGGGCGAAATCGAAATTGATAATTTAGCCTTCGATTGCAGAGTTAACCCTCTTATATTTTTCCAGCGAGAGCGACATGAAACAGTTTGACTCGTGATTGATAGGTAGAGCTAAGCCGCACTAATCCAGAACTCCGTTCGTGGACGAACGGAGTTTCCCAAAGCAACAATGACTTCGGCCAGGCATAACTCATTGCCGCACCCCCTGCCCTCTCCCTCTTTTTAGCCGTCGCTCACCCCCTAATCCCCCTTATACAAATTTGTTTCTTTCCCCAATCCTCTGCTGCCGTAAAACTCAGAGATGACGGCTATTATTTTCACCAAGATAATGCTTTGCACCTGCCCGCCAAAATTATGCCTGTTCTTCAGACCACACGGGAATCATGACCTAAAGGCGAGCCCATTGCCACGCCGTCGATC